TTCTCTAAGTCCCGTCACCAGCTGCGTCATCGTTCGTAATCTTTAATCCCGTGATCAGGGAAAACTCGAACATCGAAAAACTAGTAACTTTGCCTCCCGATTGCGAAGTGGAGGGTATTGCCGTCAACTGGACTCAACAATCAACATAGAAGTGCATCAATAATCTGACCCGAGTACTGCAGATCTCTCAACAAGTACAAGGACCACAGGAAGGACTGGCGCAGCATATCAACATGCTGATCATCGAGCAGCTCTAACACCGTAGTGAAACTGTCAAAGCTACTATTCCACGTAGCTTTGCTAGGCATCTGTCTCAATTCTGCGTCGATGTGATAATTCATCCCTGTAAAAATTCAAAGTGTTAGAACATTATATAAGAGATAATAGAATAAGTATAATAACAGAAAATTAAGCGAACGAAATTGTAACTACAATACGCAACACGCAGATTCATAGTAATTAAAATCATTAATACTGTGAAATATTTTACCATATTCTCAATAATGTCAATGTTTTTCCTTAATATAAAAAAAAGATAATAAGTATTAAAATTAACATTAAAATTTAAAGAATTATTTAAAATTACAATTACAAAAATTAATTAAATTGGATGAACGAAAAGAATATTATTTATAAAAAACAATTAATAAAATTAAATATGAAATTTAAATTTAAAATTAAATAATTATTAAAAATTACAATTACTAAATTAATTAAATTCGATAAACAAAAAGAATATTATTTATAAAAATAATTAATAAAAATAAATATGAAATTTAAATTTAAATTTAAAATTAAATGATTATTAAAAATTTCTATTACAAAAATTAATTAAATACGATGAACGAAAAGAATATTATTTCTAAAAAGTAATTAATAAAAATAAATATGCAATTTAAATTTAAATTTAAATAATTATTAAAAATTACAATTACAAAAATTAATTAAATCCGATGAACGAAAAGAATATTATTTATCATAAACTATTAATAAAAATAAATACGAAATTTAAATTTAAAATTAAATAATTATTCAAAATTACAATTACAAAAATTAATTAAATTCAATAAACGAAAAGAATATTATTTATAAAAAACAATTAATAAAAATAAATATGAAATTTAATTTTAAAATTAAATAATTATTAAAAATTACAATTACAAAAAATAATTAAATTCGATGAACGAAAAGAATATTATTTCTAAAAAATTATTAATAAAATTAAATATGAAATTTATAATTAAATAATTATTAAAAATTACACTGACAAGAATTAATGAAATTCGATTAACGAAAAGAATATTATTTATAAAAAACTATTAACAAAAACAAAAACGAAAACGAAATTTAAAATTAAATAATTATTCAAAATTACAGTGACAAAAATTAATGAAATTCGATTGCCGAAAAGAATATTATTTATAAAAAACTATTAATAAAACTAAATATGAAATTTAAATTTAAAATTAAAAGAATTATTAAATATTACAATTCTAAAAATTAATTAAATTCGAGAATGAAAAGAATATTATTTATAAAAAACAATTAATAAAATTAAATATGAAATATAAATTTAAAATTAAATAATTATTAAAAATTCAATTACAAAAATTAATTAAATTCGATGAACGAAAAGAATATTATTTCCAAAAAATAATTAATAAAATTAAATATGAAATTTAAATATTAAATAATTATTCAAAATTACAATGACAAGAATTAATGAAATTCGATTAACGAAAAGAATATTTTTTAAAAAAATTATTAATTAAAATAAAAATGAAATTTAAAATTAAATAATTATTCAAAATTACAATGACAAAAATTAATGAAATTCGATTAACGAAAAGAATATTATTTATAAAAAACTATTAATAAAACTAAATATGAAATTTAAATTTAAAATTAAAAGAATTATTAAATATTACAACTATAAAAATTAATTAAATTCGAGAATGAAAAGAATATTATTTATAAAAAACAATTAATAAAATTAAATATGAAATATAAATTTAAAATTAAATAATTATTAAAAATTACAATTACAAAAATTAATTAAATTCGATGAACGAAAAGAATGTTATCTCTAAAAAATAATTAATAAAATTAAATATGAAATTTAAAAATTAAATAATTATTCAAAATTACAATGACAAGAATTAATGAAATTCGATTAACGAAAAGAATATTATTTATAAAAAACTATTAATAAAAATAAAAACGAAACTTAAAATTAAATAATTATTCAAAATTACAATGACAAAAATTAATGAAATTCGATTAACGAAAAAAATATTATTTATAAAAAACTATTAATAAAACTAAATTTTAAATTTAAATTTAAATTTTAAATTAAAAGAATTATTATATATTATAATTTTAAAAATTAATTAAATTCGAGAATGAAAAATTATTATTTATAAAAAATGAGGAAATAAAAATAAATATTCAAATTTAAATTTAAATTTTTATTTAAATTTGACAAATAAATAAATTATTATTTTATTAAAAACTAATAATTAAAATTATTTTAAATGAAATTCTTAAATATATGTAAGAAAAAAATAATAAAAAAACTAAAGGTAGCGGTTACGATTGGCCCGCTTAACAATCAATGGGCTGACTAAACAATAGCCCAAATAATGGGCCGACTGTTAATCAGCCCAAATTAAAAAAAAAAAAAATTTGTTATTGGGTCAACCATAACAGTCGATCCGCTTAATAGTCATGGGCTGACTCATGAAAAAACAAAACACAATCATGGGCTGAATGTAACAGTCAGCCCATGACAATTGGGCCAACCGGCTCTCGCCAGAAAATCTTCATTTTCGGCGAAAAAAGCTTGCAAATCTCAAAATCCACCTATTATTCTCCAATTTAGATTCATATTTATAATTCTACACCTACATAACCAATAATACATTCCAAAAACCTCCACAAATTCAACATTCACACACAATATGAAAATCTAAACATTAATCTAGTTAATTAACAATTCGAAATTTACCTTAACAAGAAGAAGGTCGCCGGAGATGAACTGAAAACGTCTCTGACCGACTGGAAACCGACCGTGGCTTTTCCTTGGTTTTGGTCGACTGTAAGCAAATGAGAAAGTGACTGTCTGGGGGTATTTTGGGATTTTGACCTTTAAAATCAATTTTCGTTTTTTTTCTTTCTAAAAACTGGTCGAAGGTTACTTTGGAAATACACATTGGTTATTAGGTCATTTTCAATGATTTCCTCATAATTGGAGGAGTTAATTGTTGCGATGGTTACCGAACTTAGGTCATGTAGTTGATTGATCATTAAAGTTTAAAATGTGGAAGTTTGATCATTGAACTTAGGTCAATATTTTTGATTGCTTACTGAACTTAGGTTCATGTTTTCTAGTAATGTATAATATTTTTTAAAGTTCAATAATCAAAACTCGACATTTTAAATTTCAAAGAGCAGTCGAAGACATGTAACTAAATTCAGTCACCAAAACTCGATATTTTGAATTTTAGTGACCAATCAAAGACATGAACCTAAATTCAGTTACCATTGGAACAATTAACTCGAATTGGAGGCCCATTTATAGATCCGATTTAGCCTGAATTGAGGCAGAATCCACCCGATCAAAGACTTTGGACTCGCTAATACCGATTAGGTAGAGTCTCGGCTGAAGCACATACAAAAATCGATTGTATGACATGTACATAATAAATTTACATAATGATTTACATATACGTGATGATGTAAAATATGATTGATTTTTCAAATCAAATTTAAAAAACTTCCCCTCTCTTTGAGACATAAACAATTAACTGCTTATATGCAAAGTGTTAAGGACCATGCTACACTTACATCCATTTTCTTACCTAATCTTTTACAAACGCTCACAATAGGAGAGCGGGGTCCACGGTTCGAAATTTTTAAATGTGTGTGGGGCCCGTGCGCATGTGAGAGTAGGGCATTGGTTCGGTCAACAAGATTCGGTACATATAGTTTAATTCAAGTGTTAATTTATCCTAACAGTACACAAACTTTCTCGCTGATCGCTAATTTTAAAACCATACATAAATCAAGGACGTCTTTGGTAATGCTTTCTTATCAAATTATGTGAGTAATATGCAAATAGAAATTTGTGAATCTTACAAAAGTTGTTGAACTACATTTAATCAATTAAAAAAAGGTTAAAAACTCTGTCAAACACAAACTAAATTTTGTTGGTTAGATATTGCCCTTCTATTTATTCTTTCCATCCACCACTTGCTCGTTTCTTGATTATCAGTTCGACATGCCAATCACGAATTTTAGTGCGTTCTTCGGAAGGGTGCAAATTTGCTCCCAATCATGCCAATCACGGATTTTAGAGCGTTCTTCGGCAGGGTGCAAATTTACTCCCAATCTTTTGTCACCGTACTTTCCCATCCCCAACTAATTTTTCATCTCATCTTTGTCCTCGCCGTCAAAAAATTAGTAGATTAAGCCCTCATTTGGCCCCCATTTTCTGAAAATGAAAATGGGAGAAATCGTATTTTTTAGAAAATGAGTGGTTGAAAAAGAAAGAAAAGTTTTCGATTTACGTGTAATATTATTTTATGAAAATTTGTGTAGTTGAAAATAAGAGAGAAAAAAATGGAATGTAATGTAATTGAATTTAATGGGGATCAAACGGGGGCTAAGAATGGTTAAAAGATTTTAAAGTCATTTTACTTAAGATGAGTGTCTACCAAGCGACTCTAAATAGAATAATTAAAGAGCACTTAATCGATTGATACATGTTCATACACCATGAGATCAAGCTAATTCTGACTATGGAACAGGGTAACGGACATCAGTCTTGATTATTATTCCTATCTTGCTAATTATCCCAATTATTATTTTATTTTATTTTATTATTTGTTTTTTTTACAAGATTTTAGTTCCATTGGGAACAGGAGATTTTTCCTTTCTTTTCTACGATATTAATTCTTCCACTACCTATTTAATCTCTAAACCATACACATGCTTTGTAAATGGTAATCATTCAGTTTTTCAATTAAGTACATTTAATCCCACAAAACTCAAAACTTCAAATTACACTCAAGATTCTAGAGCATCTCTCTTGTTTCTTTGAAATCCAAATCCCTGGTTTGCACAAGAAGGGAAAATTGGATTGCAACAAAAAAACTGAGAGTTCGAAGAAGGATGCTGAGACAATGGATATCTGGGAAAAGATTCTTACAAGCGGTTGGGGAAAAGAATTTGTGGCCGGAGGATTTGGAGGAACATCTGGAGTCGTGGCTGGTTATCCTCTTGATACTCTCAGAATCCTTCAGCAGCAGCAGCACACTGGCAAGGGTTCTGCCATTAGCATTCTACGGCGAGTTCTAGCCAACGAGGGACCCTTTGCCCTCTACAAGGGAATGGCTGCTCCCTTGGCCTCTGTCGCTTTCCAGGTTCTTGTTCTTCTTTCATTTTATCATTCAATTTATGTTCCCCGCAGTAGCGGACCCAGGATGGAAGTCCAATGGGGGCGAAACCAAAAAACCTTAGGGCCGAAACCAAAAAAAAATCTGAAAACCTAAAAAAACTTGGAGAAATACTGAAAATATGAAAATCAAGTGGGGGCGGCTGGGCCTCAAGTAGGTCTGCCCCTGGTTCCCTGTCTCTTGTTTGCAAGATACATGTACATCAAGTCATGGAACTTAAACACATAATGCTAGCAGGTTAAACATGCTGGTGGTTACTGAACATGTATAGTATGGAATTGCAAAGCTTACCTAAAACAAAAATGTTACTTGCACAGATTTTTTGTAAAGATGAATTTACAGGTGCTGAAATGCAGAAATGGCAGAATTTAATTGGCTGGTTTAACCTT